TGACAGTTTATCAGTTAAAAATCACGTTAAATTAATTAATTTTTTGTTCTGTTTTAAATATTTTGTGTGCTCAATGGTAATACATAAATATTTTAATAATAAAAGTTATTATAGAAACACAAAATAAGTTAGACGGCGTATTAGTTATGCAATTTTAGTGCTATGAGTGAGTAGCTAACTATTCAGCTATACAAACTAATAAATTATTTTCCAACTAGTGTAACTTTTAATTTACGAGAAATTAATAAATCTTCAATAAATTAAAATGAGCACTAAAATTAAATGAGTACTACAATGATATATATTTAGTAGCATAAATTGAACCATATCCCCAGTTAATCCAATAGAAATCGTTATCGATTTAACCAATCTGTAGCAATAAAAAATACATGAAATTAGTAACAAAATGTTGTTAATTATGTTAATGAATTAATACAATTATCCGTTAAATTAACTGTAGGCTTTTTTTTTTTTAATATTGGCAACTACATAAAAATGTTTTGATTGAATCCAGTTTTATATTTTTAATAATACTAATATTTGATAGCTAATAAAAATAATCGTAAGATGAAAACTGTTATTTTTTATTATTCATTATTAATAATACTGAAATTGTTTCCGACTTCGCTTTATAGAAAAACAGTGATTTATTTTTTATCGGCTCTAGAAGAAATATTTAAACTATTCGATTGTCAACCTCAGTGTAAAAAATTGTTTTATTTTTGCTTGCTTATAACTATCGAGTAGCGATGGTCGACAGCCAGAAATCACTTCCATTCAATTTTCGGCGGATGACAAAAACCCTTGGCTTATGCCTTATTATTAATAAAACAAGTGAGGCTAAATAGACTCGTATGTAGCAATTTACAGAATATTGTTACAACGAAATTGCTACTAATAATGTAAGGGTTCCCAATATGTTTGTTTTGTCGGCAATGAGTATAATTAAAAATATAATGCGTAATTTTAAATACCTAAACTACGCACAGAATAGTATTTTAAACAATAAACTCACTATTTTAAAAATTATTCAATATAGCTATTTTAAATACATTTATCCGAAACAACTACATTACATAGATACGAAGTTTATATTATTATGTTCAATAGTAATTTGTACGATTCTTACATGCTGATTATATTATAACTATATAATGATTGATATGACTTAGTTATTAATGACTAAATAAAACGGATAAATATATCATACCTATAAAATAAAGAATTAATTACTCTGATACAACATAGTGAAGGAATTGACTAAGGCATTTCCACTAATTATTTGTAATTCATCATTTTTTACTTGTTTACTGATAAATGGTCATTCTATATGTTTATATTTAGTAATACAAGTACTTATACTTGTATCTAGAATGTTGGTTTATTCAATATTGTTATTTCTTATTATAATATTTTGAATAGGCTGATTGACGTGAAAAATATGTTACAATTTATTTGTGTACATAAAAAAACGAATGAATAATGAATAAATGTGTAATGATGTTTGGATATTTTTTAAATTCTAATATTATTTAAACTATTGAAAGCTTAACGTAACCATACAGGTCACAGACAATGTTGGTCTTTGAAACTATAAAATATATTTAAATATGAAATGATTAATCGATATGAAATGCTTAAAACAGTTAATACAGGCTTTTAAGGGATTATAGGTATTTTATTTATAGAAAGACAGAACACATTAAGAGTAGAGAATAACATTCATCATACATCTACATGAACGTATTCTAATTTCAATTTAAAATAATAACGATATGAATATATGCGAAAAGGCAATTCTAGAAAAAAAAATGTTTATAGAATATTTAGTGAACCATAAGAACAACACATTTTTGTTAACAGAAAAATAAAAAATGTGATTCTTTCGCGAAAATTAAAATGTGATAAATGAATCAACTTGATTTCATTAGTTTTTCTACTTATCAAGATCTGCAACAATATTTTTCTTCCTACAAACTGACAGAACTGTACAAAAAATCTAACAGAAGGATCACTTTTACAGTTCTAATCATTACTGACTATGTCCAAGCTTAAATGGTTTGGAGATCAGTGACTTTTATTTTTACTATCAACAGGAATATACTATATCCTTACTTTAAAAATAAAATTGGTATTCCAACAAATTTTCTGACTTCATTTTTGTGCGTACAAAAATTGAAAGTAAAAATGTCTACATACTATATTGCAGTTAGTTATATCACACTATTTTTGGGTAATAATATTAAATAAGATATGAGCTCGAATTTTTCACTACTTTACTGTTTAAATATATTTCAGTTATAAAATTATAATTTTAAAAGATTGAAGAACGTTTTTTCTTTTTCTTTAGTGTAAACTAATTCTATTAAATTTACACTATTTACACGCCTTGCGGTTACTCCCATTTGGATATCTTGACTGGTTCGCCAACGTTTTGAAACGCTTCAATACACTTGAACTAAATAACTATAAAACGAGTTAATTAAAAATGTCTTATTGCTAAAAGCTTTTAACGTTATTTAGCTATTTAATAAATAATAAGTATAACAAAATCTGTAGTCAAAATTTGTTTAAACATTATCCACAGATTCATATTAAATTATTTAGTAAGTAAATTCTATAGTATTAATATTGAAATTGGTTACATTATTCTTTGGATTGTATTATCTCATACCTATAATAATTTTTATACAAAGATGCAGTCTCATATAATGTGTATAGACTTCAAACCAACAACTTCAATACAGTACATAATTGAAAAATGATCAAAGAACTTAGGTTGATTTAAACAAGAGAAGTTAATGTGTTTATGTGCAGGTACGATAAACGATTGACAATTAATATTTTGTTGTCGGTATTTTCGTCCTTCACAGTAATTTGATGTAATACTAAATAATTATATACTGGAAAACAATTTGTAGGCTTTGGGGAATAATGTATTAAATAATGAGATCAATCGAGTATGGTTCATTTGAGATAAACAGTAATGAAAATTAATTTAATACTACTTACAAAAATACCAAGTCTAATTTAGGGTTCTTTTAGGATCAATAACACATTTGGTGCACACGTTTTTCAAGTGTAAATCCACCCAAATTGTGAAAACCAAAATGATTTCAGTTAAGTTTTCCAAATAATGGTTTCTAATTATGAACAAAGCGTACAAAAAATATCTAATAATTCCATTGAAATTATTGTAAAACAACACTTTAGAGCAATATAATAGTTTTCTAATCCCTTGTAACTTAATACTGTAACCATTTTGACATAAAGATGCCGTCACAGTAAAACCCATTGACTCTGTCTGCCAGACATGTAATATAAGAACCACGTATTTAACTTCCAATAGTATAACTTGTTACTTCTAGGACAATAACATAATACACAAATGAAAGATCCAAAAATAACATTACTGCAAGTTAACTAATATTTTTAAAGTTTCGTACAATACAGCGTTCTTGGTCGGACATTTTTTAATCTATCTTATTCAAACCTCTATAACGATAGAACAGCTGTTTATCAAAACTTAAATCAAGCGATATTGCCAGATGGCACAGTTTTTAATCTCATCCAAAATAAAACATTCTATGTTGTTATCTTGGCCCAACAAATGGAAATTTATCTATAAACAAAATCCGGCATGTAAAAAATTACATTACATCTTCTAATCAGTACTTGTATTGGAATAGTAATTGAGAAAGGACGCTGGTATCAAGTTGGAAAATTCAGATTTTTTTGGAGAACAAAAATGAGTAGTAATGGGCGTTAGCTTTGATTTACGAAAAATTAGGAGTGACTATGTCTCCTTCAATTTATCTGTTGCATCTTACAATTTACAATGTAAACGTCATAGCCAGGTAAAAGGAAAAACTTTTGGTTGCTAACATATTAACAACTATACCTCGAAAATAACTTGTATAAAAATGTTTTCTTTAATTTTGTGTAATGGATAATTGAATATAGTTGTTGTGCTTTAAATTCAGTAAGTTTTGCTATTAGAAGTCTGTAGAACATGGGTTTCATTTATCACGAGTGTGCTAAAGATAGTCGAAAAACAATTTTTACTGTGACGTCTAACTAGAAAAAGTGTTAGAATGCCTGTTAGTAGTTTAAGAAAAATAACTAAAAAACGAAAACTGTAAAACAAGTTTCTAACACCATGTAGGTATATTGCTATAATATAATATTATCAATCTAATATCTATAAACAATGTCGGTATATTAATTAGATTCCTGTGCTTTAATTTCCACAAATTTTTTTAAAATTATGAAAACCTACGCTTTAATCATGATGTGTTAGCAACCGACAAGAGGGAAATATTTTGATTGGTTTCGAATTAACCCTTCTTATAATTTTTTCTTGGAAAAGACAGCCAATTTATTTGCGTGGTATGTTAAGTTACATTTTACAATGTACTATGCTTAGATTTTTTGTACATTTCTTAAAAAGTTCAAGGAAGAACAATGTATACTGTACATTTTTTGAGAACCTCATGAAATATATTGCATTTGAAAAATGACAATTATTAGTAAAGCAGCTAAGTATTTGATTTTAAAAAGATTTTAGAATTTTAATTTGGGAAGAAGAATGTTTTTTTGAAAGTTAGTATTTACAAAGTTTATTACGACCAATAAAATTAAATAGTTTTCTTAATATAACGACCGTAAGGTGGGGTAATATTGTAATCCAATGAAAAAGTTTTAATTAGTTTCGAAATTAAGCGATTCGTTTTGCCTGTTTATCCATTGTACATAATATTATATTGTAATGAATAATCTATTTAGTATTATAATTTTTAAATAAATAATATGTTGTACGTATTTGTATATATATATATATATATATAGATAAGTAAATACAACTTGTTATCTTTATGTGGTTTGCAAGGAATTGTTATTATAACGTTTTTATTTTTAAGTTCATTCATTAATATTAAGTGCACTAATGACAAATAAATAGTTTAGTGTATTATACTAAAGTAGTATTGGCGAAAACTCACCTTGATCATAATAGGAAATGCAGTAATGCCATGATTGCGGTATGAGATCGGTGATCAACGTGGAGCGCGGGTCGCCGTGTCCGTCGAGATCAGCTGAGCCGACGCGACGGTAGTCTGGTTACTGCGGTGGCCGGATGACACTCGACGACCGTGACGCGAGGAACGGTTCCGGTGCGATCCGTCGACGGTGGCCGCGACTCGTTGTCGTCGGGCGGGTGGCCACGGGAAAAACGGGTTGATAAAAAAGAATGTTGTCGCCGTCGTCCTAAGCCGGAAGCGCGCGCGCCGCCAACTGGAGAAAACAAAAACTCTCCCTCGCGGCCAATCGATAACTCGTGTTAATCCGGGACGTTTTTTGCGTGCTTATATTAATAATAATCATCATAATAATGTCATAGGGAAATTATTTGCACCGCACGGCAATGACGGCAAATCAACGACCGGACGCCGGAACGCGAAATGTGGCCGTAGTCAATAATCAACGGCAAGACAACGGACGACGGTTGATCCCACCAAACCGTGACCACGAGACGCCGGCGGCTACGGCTCCTACAGTACGTGTCGCCGTCCACGTGTGTGCGGAGCGCGTACGCCACATGTACGACGTGTGTGCGTGTAGGACAGTGTGAGCGGCCGGTTAAAGGAGGCCGCCGCCATTCAACTCGCAACGGTATAATCACGCCGACTGCGAAACTTAGACTGGAAAAACTTTTACACGCGCTATCTCTGTCGCACGCCGCCGCCGGTACGCCACCGACCCACTCGCCTCCCTTCCGCGGCGTGCCGTGACGACGCGCGCTGCACTTTATCCAATCTTTTCCATTTCCCGTTTTTGTGTCCAGACCGAACGCGCTCCCTGCCGCCGCCTCGACAGAGAAATTACTTTAAACAGCAACAAGCCCTCGGCGGCGCCCTCCCATCTCACTTCATCGCCGCCGCGCCAGTCGCCCCATTTTTACAGACTTCGACTTTACCCGCTTCTCTCTCTCTCTCCATCATCAATCGCTTTTCTTTTTCTTTTTCTTCTCCCTTATTTTTATTTTACTTCATTTTTCCGTCATCCGCCGCCGTCCCTCTTTCATCAACACTCGACGTCTCGCGCACTCTTTTCGGCGAACGGCCGACCGTGTGTTTTCTTCTTTTTCTATTTTCTTCTCCGTTTTTGTTTGATTTACCTTCGCCCGTCGTGTCAGCCGTTACGCGCGCACTCACACACACATACACAAAACCCTGTAAACCGTCGGTGTATATAAGTAGAAAATTAACGCCAAGACGAAAATCAGTAAGTAGTAAAACAGTTCATGACTTTTAGCGGTGCCGCGTGCTAAAGTTGCCGAGCGCCACGTACCCCTTCCTTCCGCCGTCCGCACTTATGTTCTCCACTCTAAAATATATATATTATTATATTACACTAACTATTATCATACAGCTCGGAGACGTTGAAGTTTTGATTGCTTCAGGCTCTGCCCGATGAGCCCGTCTTTCCCACCATTATACGTACATTAACAGGCCCAATGTACGCTTAAATGTTAAAAAAAAGTCATCGTCGAGTCGAACTTTATACGATTGGCTTTTTTTTGCTTTTAACTTATATTCTTCTAACAAAAAAAAAACTTTTATTCGATACGTTTCTTCTTGAAAATTTCCGCAATGATCGTAATAACAATAATACACGGTTGAATAATCACAATGGGAAAATCTCGCCCTCCAAAAACTATTGTGTCAGGCTCAGGTTATTATAAGTACTAAATAACTATTAATAACAACGTTATTAAAAAATGCATTGGCAAGTGTACATTGTCCTTCTGTACGTAGTTAAGTGTAGTACCTACCTTTGGCAGAAATTTAGGGGACATTACTCATTAGGTATAACAAACACTTTAAGTTCAACTTTTTAAATAAATTTAACTAAGATTTCCTCATACTAAAAAATCATATCTTAATCATACAGTACTAATATTAATTAATACCTAACAAAGATAAGACAAATTTAATACATTTTTTTGATAGTGAATATTTTTAAAAATTAATTTATACTCATTTGTGCTACCTCTTTTTTTTTTGCACTTAACTATTTTACTTTTTTAATTATTTTTGTTACATTAATTTTATTAAATTTAAGATAAACTGTACTATTATTGAATAATACCTAATTATATAGTTTTACAGTAAAGTAGATTTGAGGCGGATGATTTTTAATATTTCTATAGCCAATATTTAATAAAAAAGCGGTTTTAGCTGTTAATTTATTTTCAGCTCAATTTATAAAAGCTTTAAAGTATTTTTTTTAACGTATACAATTTTGTTTACAAGTAAAAGCCATTTGGATGGTAAAAATGTTTTTGTTGTGACAAAATTGTGAGGTTTTGACTGGTCCAACTTCAATTAAGTAAAAATATTATAGTTAATTGGCCTCTTTACTGGGTTATATCGGATACCTAAGGGGTAAAATAATAATTAAAAAAAAAATGATTCATGTTATTTAATTTAAGTTAACAAAAGATTGGCTAGGCGCCTTACCGAGGTTCCAAAAGTAGCTCCCTATAAGTAGATTTTATACACGCATCAACTATTATAAAAAGTAAATTACACGTTTCGCAGCAAGTCATTAGTCAAGAAAAAGAAATTGCATGTAATAGCTAAGCAATTACTGTTGTGTTTCGTTTTCATGTCTTACCGCATGTTGCTATTCCAATATTGACACGATTCAATTAAATGATTATTGGTTAGTCTAGTATAGCGTTTTTTGTTAAAAAAATACAATCTACACAATGGCCTGTCGAACGGGATTAAGCGATAAAAAAAATAATAAGAGGTAAGTAATAGGTAGAACAAATAAATTAAGTTTTTTAATAAGCTTTGTAAACAATTCAATTGTTATTGTGTTGTTGAACGCGTATTAAGCTCATATACAATCGATTAAAGAATTAGAAAGAATAAAACACGAATAAAGTCACTATCAATGTGCAGTCGAAATTTTGGCAAATGAAAGTTTTCTTTAGTGTTTTTAAAAAGGTTTTATAGGAACAAGTGAAAAAGAATATGAAGTGTATCAATATAAAATGTAAACTCTCTTTAGTTACTCGTATTGTCATGGTTTTAAAATGGTATTAATATGTACTTTATTACCAAATCAATAACGGGGCTTTGCCTATTACCCTGTTTAAAATAAAGTCTCGAGTGATTTTTTGTTGAATTTCTTTTCTATTATGTTATAAAGAATACCAAATTAAAGTTTCTAAAGTAACATTTATTCTACAAGCATCTATTATTACGTCAAAGTTTCTTGTGTGCATTGTAGAAGTTAACTAAATGGTCCAATATATATTTTTAATAGTCGCCTCATAAATATTTTTCTTTGAATGCATATTTCGTCCATTTAATTCAGTTCAACTTATTTTTAAGTTTACCAAATGACTATAATTATTTAATGTGTATATAACTATTTAACATTTTTTGACACAGATCATTATTATTTTTTAAAACAAAATATACATAACATTTATTTAAAGTCTAGTAGGGAATTTAACGAAGAAAAAAGAAGTTGAAGTAATCCAAAAGTATAGTTCAATTTGCCAATTAGCAGATGATAAAATTTAAAAAACGTAAATTTTTTAGACTGACATTTAACCAAAAATTTACAAAATGAATTTATATGTTTTAACTACTTCAATTATGACGGGGCTTTTGACTTTTTAATTTTAAGAATAATTTACTGAACATTTAGAATGAAATTTATGGATAGGAAAATGCATTATTCGCGTAAGAGTTAACAACATAAAAAAATGTGTATATATATATTTTAATTTTATATAATCTTATCTGTCTTTCTTAATAAATTGTTTCTATGGTTACCAAAAGACAATATCGTAATCAACAATTTACTAATGAAAATATTATTCAGGTATTTATTGATTGTTTAATTATTCTTTGAAACTATAAGATATGAAATCAATTTTTCAGAAAATAATTATTTTATTGATATAAATATTGATGGCCTAACGCTGCCATCATGAGATGATGGTTTTTAGATGGATTCGCTGTCCAGGACGGGTCGTCAAGTCCGTCGTCGGAGCGCCCGTGACGAAGTGTCGAACCGGCGACAGTGAGCGCTAACACACTGCCGCCTTACCCACTCGGCCACTCCTCCTCCTTAATAAATATTAATATATAATAATAAAAATAAAATAATAATAAAGGAATTTCAGAATGTTTTTGGAATTATAAAACTAAATAACTCCGAAGAACCTTAAGAAAACTTGTGGTTACATAGTAAAGAATAAAAATAATTAAAAATTTAACTTCAAATATACACTAGTGTGTATACGCGTTTTTCAGCAGAAATATCAACAACAGACTGAGACCGATTACGGGCAAACATCGTTCTTCATACCAATACAGCAGCGTCATACCGGAAGTGATAACTCGTAGTTAAAACGTGTTTTTAGCTATGTATTAAAATGTATAATGGACTTAATTCCCAGTTTAACAATTTGTTCCTATTTTTTAATATGTCAATTGCCTCTATAATTGTATTAAGTTCTTTAGAATTATTTATATATGCAATTTTACTTATTTTACGCTACGATTAGTATTCAATAAATGTTCCACAACAGGAGATTTCATGTAGAAGTAGTAGTGGTATAATTTATAAAAGGAGTTATAATCTAGAATTTCAAATTATAAACAGTTTTTAGAGTGCCTATCCAAAACATACCTGGCTCACTTGCCAATATTTACGAAATTAGATAAGATATTAATTTTTGCCTTATAAATAGAATAGTTAATAAATACTAAAAAAGGTTGTGTCGCTAAGTTGACAAAACTTACTGTTTTTCTGTTAAAATGGATGTTCTTATTAAAAAATGTATGTTCAATAGTATAGTGTTATTTTAAAATAACAGAAAATCTTATTTTTACAAGAAAATAAAATCATTATTTTTATATTTAAACAAGTAAAAATAATAATCAATAAGTATTAAATTGATGAGTATTTTTTAGTTAAGAAAATATAAATTACAAACTGCATATTTAAAGACCAATATAAGTAAGTATGTTGCCGATGGTATAAAACTTTTAAAGGTACTGAAAACTGCTACAACAAATCAAGCTGTTGACATCAAATTCGAAAAATATTTGTACGATACATGCAACGGCTAAAACAATTACCTTGGCAACCAAACGCAAATTAATTTTTAATTGGCTTCTATAATTAAACGAATAACCTATGTATTTAATATTTTCTTTTTAAATATATGAACATACTCATCCATAAATTTCGCAAAATCTTTGAAATCTCTAATGCCTTTTGAACGGAATTCGGTTTATGGACTTGCAGTTTTAAGCCGATTTATAAAGCCAGAAATTAATAATTTATGCCTATACCTATAGCCATCTCGTTTATAAATATCTTATAGAAAAGGGTTCTAGGTTACTTGGTAGGTATAGCCGTGCATTAAAAATGCAACACGCGGATATTTTATACGGTCGGGGAAAAATGTAGATTGTAGAAAGCGGATATTTTGTACGGTCCGATTCTATTGAAAGTTTGTACAGACATCAATATTAAAATTAAAATTATAGCTTTAAAATATTGTATACATATTTCCAGATCACAGTATTACAATTTAAAAATTACACTAATTTTTAAAATTATAATTTAAAAATTACAGTAATTTTTAAAATTATAATTTAAAAATTACAATAATTTTTCACATTCATCTAATTGTATTTATTGCCCACAAAACTGTCCAGTAACTCGGATTTTTTGTTCCAACTAATTTATTGAAGGAATTATTCCGTCCTTCACTAACGTTGTTTGTTCGATGCGATTTAAACATTGTTTGGTCTCTTACATTCCAAATAAAAGGAGGGGACCGTGGATTATTAATATTACCACTCACATAAGTTTTTTCAAAGTATGAAATAAGAGGTAGTCCCTCTTGAGAACATGTTTTTGTACATATGACTAATTTCAATTAAACTAATTATCGATAATAGATAAAAACGCTAATGAAGTAATCATTTTACACTCTTTGGAATTTTTCTCGTTTCTTTATCCAATTTTGCTATTACAAGTTGTTAAATTTGTCTATATATAGACTGACATAAATGGAAGAAACAGCCCTGAATCTGAAATTCACTAAAAACTCTGTTTATTACATTAATTACGCTTAACTTGAAATCTACTACATTCTATTAGGCTTAAAGAAGTTTCGTTTTTAAGAAATGTTATAATGACGTACATGATCAATACTCGGACCACAATAAAACATAAAAAAACACGATAACAACAATCACCAGCACTCGTAAAAATTTAAGAAATCTTGATAGTTTCGCACAGAAGCTACCAAGTTAGACTAGTTAAAATATGTTTTGAACCTGAGCGCTTTTTTATAAGGGTAACCAGGGCGTATTAAGTTGTAATTTGTATAATTCTATACTCTGTAAAAATGAGTAAATTATTCGTGTCATTCCTACTTTTATATAAAAACAAAATTACGGATATCCCAATAATAATAATGTCGTGTGGACTTATTGACCGGGATTATAGCTAACTTGGATATCCCAATGGTCACTATGTAAAAAAAAAATTGATGTGTTACAACTTAAGCCTTAAAATATGTGATATAATATGGGAGTTAAGTAAATATCATGATATAGTCTAAGTAACTTACATCGTTGCCAATATATAAAATCTTATAATATGTTAAAATCGAAATTTAGTTTATTTGGCTGGAAGTCTAAGTCTTTTTTCCTACTGTCCACTTAGTAAATATGGCAGAAATTTAGTATTCGTTATAATAGGAATATAGTAGGAAAACTATAGCAGGAAAACAAACTAACACTCCCGGCCAAGTAAACTAAATTTTGATTTTTGCATGACCATTTTTAAATGTTCGCCGATTTTTTTTTTGTTGACAACAATGTAAATTACTTAAACTACATTATGGTATTTACTTAACTTCGATTTTCTATAACATATTTTAAAGCTTAAGTTTTAACTCTCCTGATTTTTATTTTACTCAGTAATCATTTACACTGAGTCCTGAGTTAACGAAGTGTTTTTTTGGGATTATAACTAACCCAATAAATTTAACTTTTGCTGGTTTTTTCTACGAGTGAATAAGTCAAACAATATTCAAATACTATTTATAGCCTAACTTAGCCTTGTTTATTACGTGTTTGTTACAACTCCCAAATACTATTTATGGTTCGTTTCATGAACAAAAAAAAACAATACATAAAAAACACTAACTTAATTTTAGTAAATAATGTTGTTTTTAGTTTTATTTCATTACACTTTGAACAAAAGTAAACATGGTTCAATACACAATTTAATTAGTTATAACTCTCATAATAATATAGGGTTTTAAAAATGTATTGTCTTAACAAAAATAGAACTGTAAACAAAAATTTCTTTTTCACAAAATAATACTGTTTAAAAAAGGATATTCCTAAACATAATAATTTAGACGCTTCACCTCGACGGATATCGTGTTAATGACAACAATAATAGTAGTTATAATAATTTAATTAGGTTCAGTTGACCACTGAGATTAAATATAAAATACTATTAGGTAATCCGATAAAAACAACTACAAAAAAAAAGGATAAAAAAATCACATATTTTGTATTAGGACATTCGCGGAGGTGGGTATAGTACCGCCCGCTTACAATAATATTTAATGGTTAATATCAATGCACAATGAAATAGTAGGATCTCGCGCAATATTTCCGGTTTAAATCGACTTAAAAAATTACTGAACACGAAATATAGGTATATTATAATATTATAATAAATTATATCTTTTTAGGAACGTTTGAAAATCAACTTATTTCAAATAATAATCATACAAAAAACCTGTATAAATTCAAGGAACGGTTTAGGACAAAAATAAAACAAACAAAAATCGTATTCCCATCAGAGGTTTGTTCGCTTCTGTACCGCGGCACCGTAACCGACGTCCTGACGGTTGGCGCTCGTCGGTTTCCGGTTGCGGTGGTGGCTGTGCCGGTTGTCGTCCTCGGACAACGTGGCTGCGGGCGAGAGGCACACGTACGAGGACGACGGCGAATAGGCGGCGTCCACGGGGCTAATGCGGTTCAACAGGTAGTCCAAGTCTTGCGATATTCTGTCGAACATGTTGCCGTCGTCCTCCTGGTGACCGTCGTTTGCGTCATCTTCCGGTGGCGTCTTGACGTTATCACCGCTGCCGCCGCAGCCGCCGTCGTCATCGCTCGACAGGAGTTGCGACGGCTGACGACAAGGTTCGACGTCGACGCTGCAAACGACCACTGTGGGCACCGTCGGCTGCGGCGGATCGCTGTTCTGTTCGGCCGTCACCTGTTGTAGGGCCGACGACATGACCAGTCCGACTTCTACACACACATGTGTGGCCAACATGTCCGGCGGTGGCTGCACCACACATCGGATGGCCGTGTCACCGCCGGCAGGCACTTCGAAGTCGGTCTGCACCACCTGCCAGTGTTCTTCGCCGTCACCGTATCCGCCCGACTCTGCCGCGTTGCAACCACCGTACACCGGCACTACTTCGGCCACCGTCGTCTCTAGTAGCGGCGCTCGGCTGTTGTTCCTGTACGACGAACACTTGCCGTTGTTACCGGACTGGATGTTGTTGTTGTTGTTGATGCACGGCTTCACTTGACACCCTGTAAGCAATTATAATGACGTTTAAGTACGACCACACAAAACACAATCGAGTATAATCGATGATAATTATGTTGAATTTGTGCACATAATGAATTAAACCTCACAATTATAATTGTGGTTTCACGTGTGGTGTACTGTTCAGTACTGGACACTTATTTTGTTTTTTATTTAAATGTTAAAATTTACAAGGACGCCTGTTAAATATCTAGCGATTTAATGATGTTTGCGACGTATTAAAAATATTAACAATAACATTAGTTTAACATATTTATATTTTTCAAAATTTCGATAAAAAAGTTATTGAAACACTCTTACGAAAAAACCCCCAGATGTACGTCGTTTAATATTGTTTATTAAGCGCAACTCAAATTTTAATATTATATGATTACTACTGGAGAAGTATAACATTTTATAACAGACTAATAACAATGAAAAAAGTAGTGAACAACATTAGTAACAGACGCTTAGGTTGTTTAATAAAAAATAAATTACCCATCAAGATTCCTCATTACTGTTAGAAAAAATACAAAATTTATATTGTTACTAGTATGATGATATACTTAAATTTTAATATAGCTAGTGCAGAAGCTGGCCATAAGTTACATTAAATTCAACGTTAGCTGCTAAAGTTGACAGTTTGCCATTTATGGATTGTTTTAAAAAGGTATAAAATATTCGATCATTTTTTTTCTTCAAAAATTGTAACTCGAACAAAACCATGAAATTATTACTCTTTGTTTTCGTTTACGGTTTATAAATAATTCAAATGGCAACGGATAGAAAAAATAATAATGGGTGTTTCAAAAGTTTAAGGGAAAAAGTTTTAATTGTTTATTTATTTTATACATTTTTATAGCCTAAAGTTATGTTTTAAGTTATACTATATAAAGCTGAATATTTTAATGGCCCAGATAAGTCATACGACATTAGTATAATTTAATAAGACTGGTCTATGAAAAATATGAACTTATAGTATTATTTAATAACGGAACATCGCCGTCATAAACTACATTTTTGAGAGTAATGACATTATATAAAATCAGAGAGTAATCCACTAAAACAAGTACAACACAATTACAAGATCATTTATTTGGCTTTTTAACAAAACGATCTATATATAGTGATAACTCAAAACGTCAATTTATAATACCTTAAATGAATCACTAAAAGTGATCCTATAGCGTTATTTTTTAGATGTTTCATAACATTTAGAGTTCGTCGGTCTTACCCGTGACTAAATCGTGGAGAAAAGTCACCGACTTGGCTTTGGTTTCGGAATTGTGACCAGTTCTTTTTAACGAACTAGTCAAATTGCTGACGACCGACACAGGTTTTCCTTGATTTACAAAATACTCTTGAGGACTGTCCACGATTTCCAGTATGTCACTTTTTGCCAGCTGCTTAGTTTCAAACTCAACGATTTCTTTAGGTAAACCTACGGATCAACGGGGGACATTAGGTAGATTATTGTCGCTATATAAAAACAATAATTTCATTTCTATATTTCGTGGTTAGTTTTAGACGTTATGTACGTTGTTTGTGTTCGTTAAAAATAATACTTATATAATAAATTGAGAGTGCACTTACAGTTCAACAGACTTCCGTCCGAGTCTGAATGGATTTCGCCGGTTGACTGGTCGTGTGGGTATTTCAGACGATAAACGGTTTTTAAGTTGATCGGCTCTTCTGTATAAAGTATGTAGCAAAACAAAACGACGAATCCCTACAAAAATGAAAAAAACGCTGTTCAATCATAATGTTATTTTCGCGATACTGGAAGCTACACGTGCGCCATCTTTTGTTAAGCACCGTTACGTTGAAATCCTGTATTTATTTCTTACAGATAGCGCTAAAACTCACTTTCAGAGCACAAGAAAGGCTGAAGATGTAATTGAAATGTTTTTCCAAATAAATGAAGTACTGAATACTAAATACAGTTGTGGCGACAACCATCAAAAGAACGGCCACTGACCTCTTAATCAGGCCCATCCTGAAAAACAATACAGTTTTACATACTATTTTGGTTTGAAAAATCTAATCAATTGGGTAGCGGGTATTCTATTTTTTAATAATTGATTGATGCAAAACCTTGTTGTTAAATCTTTATACACGTGGTTTTCTTTCCATTTTCTAAAGCTAAATAGTTCATAGTTATACAATATTATACTGTTGCAACTTGCAAAATAAGTACAAAACTATAAACATTTTAAAGTTGTCTCAGTATTGCATAAACGGTCTCAAATTAAAAAAATGTTGTCATTAAAACTTATTAGTTTTCTTTGACTGTCTGAACTCGAATCTAACTCAGACATTATACTATAATTAAGTTCTTCTTAGTCGTTAATAATTTCTCCTTCTATAATATTTGAATGGGAAATATTATTTTCCATTACAATTGGTGAATTTTCTATAGATAATGATGTGGACATTTTGTACCTGTATTTGATTGTGCTCGTTATACTGATCTAATTAACATTATTTTGTTTGTTACTAGAAAGTGTCTACAGACGAGAATATACCAATGCAAGTACAGTTTAATTCGGCTCTTGTTATTATTTAACTCGGTTATCAATCATAACTCAAAGCGCTATCGGATAACTTATATAAGTATAATAATATATCAGTAAAATGCATAATATTACTATAATAATATATTGATTTGTTTGTGTCTGAGAATCGATTCGAATGAAATGTATTTTCTTTCTATGACATTTAGGTAAAGACACTGTTATTAAATTCAAACAACGCGTATATACCGTTTACCGTGAAAACAATGATTTTCGCGACACCGTCCGGGGCCTTTTACAAATAATAGCAAAATGTTGTCGTCTATGTAAAAAAATAACAGCAATCTAAACGCAATGGAAAGAAGAATATTTGAATATTGGGTTAACACATGTGCAAACTCATAAATAACAACGATCAATACCATACACGTACCTCGTACTCGGTTAAACAGACTAAACACGTGCGACGATGACATCGGACGTTTTATATAGTGCAGTTTAAGTAGGTCTTAATAGGTATTATTTATTAATAACATAATATTGTGATCCCGTATCAGCCGATGTTACCGAGGTTATTTTATATGAATGTGCTGATAGTTGTTTGCATTAACATAACACACTGTCTGGCCTGACAGTCAGGAAACACGGCCAAAGCGTGTGGCGTATTGTTATAATATTATTACCGTTGTTATAATATTATACTTACCATTTTTTCAAACAACCCGGCGTGTTGCGTTGCAGTTTTTCCTTGATGAATTTCATCTTGGATACGGAAATGGACAGCACAGACACGTACATGAGCATGAGCAGTACAAAAAGTACAAAATAAATGTATAAAAATGCCGATTTCTCCACCCACGACCACCACGGCCGTAAGGGAGTGACGCTAACAATGTTCGTAATTAACATGATGGTGAGCACAAACAACACTGGAGCGGCTGAAACATGTGAAACGGATGTTTAGCGTATAGTTAAGCGGCAGTGAATAATAATATTATACTTCTATTGCAGTATTTCTAAATGATTGTTGTTATAGATTGCAGTATATTATCATGAATGATTACTGTTATAAGGAAAACCATTTGGGCGCAACGGAATGTCGAATAGCGTGAAAACGAATCGATCACTGCGAAAACTGTACGGGTAATGTACAAGTAAATGATGTATTATAAGACCAACGCAATACATTTTTGGTTAATTCCTATTGTGGCTCGTTTATATTTTACAGAATATTCGTATCGAATGAATGGAACGGTCGATGTCGCACAACGGTAATGATATTATAGGTATTAATCTAATGCTCTGGGATTATTATTGTAATAATAATAATATAATAAAGTGCGTTCCACGCTAACCGGAATAAATAGTTTTCTTAATGGGGATGCAAAACAATACCTAAATAATACCGACGCCATAACGACCCACGCACATAGCATGAATGCGGTATGCTGAGTACCGTTGGTGCCAAAATAACGTTTGAAGTTCAATAAATAGCATTATAACACTTTTTTATAACATAAGCGAAAGAGAGTAGTAAATAAGAAAACGTTAAGAGGATACTACACGCCCTATTTAAAGTTCGATATGGGTATTCTTTTTTTAAAGAATCCTAATCGTTATGGCTAGAGTATAGTAATGAGGATACATTAGGACAAATCAGTAGGAAATGGTTTTATCAATACTTCCAAATTCGAAGTCAACATTTTTAATTTTATTAGTAAAACTTCTTATTTTTTTCAAATGCTTTGCTTCTTTGGGTAGCCACATAACAATTATCTGATTACTGTTTGAAAGATAGGAAAAATGTACTTCATATAATCAATTTATTTACCGGAATGCGATTTATTTATTAATGGTTTATTCAAAACTACTGTGGAAATTATAATAAACAAAAAGATTACTTCAAAATAAAAATTAATTAATGTTATCGATTATTTATTAACATTTATTTATGTATAACTTTTATTCAAACAGTTTTTTCCCTATACCTATATTAACAAAACAATCTGTGCAATATTTACAATAAGTTTTTTTTGCCAAGAACATGTACATAGGTTGAATAATTAACATGCGAGGAAGCCACCCACTGGTAACACCTTAATTCAAACATTAAAAAATATTTATACAACTCCAACAAAACACAGTTTTTATCCTAGGTATAGCCGTCCAACTATTGTTATCAATCATTTTATTATGAATTTAATAATAATATAAAAACGATCAAAGTATTATTATTTTTATACGTTATACTGTGTCAAACTTACCTGTTGCTACACCGATAATAGACAATTTTATTGTGGGAAACATAGGGAAGCTGATTATCTCTGTGTAAACAATGAGCACTTGACTTAGGTGTGAAGTGGCCTCGACAATGTTCACTATTTGCAAACACAACGAGAAGTACGCATAATCATTCTGCAAACAAATCGGGAATTTTAATACCATTGAGTATAACACTTGAAATCTACGATTGATGTACAATTTTGAATTTATAAATATTGTTTGATTACTTTTTGTACGGCGTATAAAAACATGCACATTTGAGCGACAATTGCCAAACACAGTTGAATCTTGAGATACAATATGCACGTTGGATGTCTAATCCAATGGACGAATAACAGTATCAGTGCTATTGTGGACTGTATCAGACAACAAACACATCCGATTATCACAATTACGTCTTGTTTTAGCGTTTCGATTATCTGTAAAGACTAAAAATTAACAAAAAAAAAATCAAAATAAATTTAGGTGTATTTTTGTATTTTATTTGAAGCTACATAGATGATCAGCGCTTCAAAAGTTATAAAAGCTATTCAAATATAATTAACCTTTAATTAAAAATTAATAATTTTTATAAGTTTATACACTGATATATAATATAGTTTTCATTTAAATTTTAGCACCATTTTTGAAATTAAATAAGTTTTCTCGCCTTTTAGGCAACCTAACAAATATTCAAAACTACATTAAATCATTTTTACTTTTGTTTAATAACATAGCAGCGTTCTAATATGTACATAAATATACATTTATTTTTTACATTTGTGTACGGTTACTTAATTTAAGCCCTTATCAAAGTTGCGTAATACTAAAAACTTTGTTAAAATAGTTTAAAAAAACTACGATATCGCTCCAATAAGCTAAAACTTTAATCAAATTAACTAATGAGTTACGGTTCGTAAGCGAATTGCTGTAAGATAAATATACAGTATCAACGATTCGCATTGCATTTTCTTTTTTGAAGTAATGGAGTATCATTTGATAAAAAGTACAAACAGTGCCATCAATATGAAGATTCAATCTGAAAATTTATGCATTTATAAAGTTGAATAATGGATTGCTTTTATCGAATATTGTTCTGACCCGAGCGGACAAAAGGAAATGGAAGATTCTTTTTTAGAATATTATTGTTTTATACTTTCCAATCTACAAAATATCGAGTATTCTGACAATATTATTCGATAAAACGAGAGGGACTAAGACACGAGTTCTCCAACGTTATAGATACAATTAAGTAAATCAAATATTAACGTGTGGTCATTTTATTCTCCGTTTAGGCAATTTTCATAAGAATCGCGCAAATGATTGTTTCTGAAAGAAAACGAAAGCGGTGTAAGTCAAAGTTGCACTGAATTCTTCATAAGGCTTAACGTAACCAAAACTAATGAAATACAATTTCAGAATGCCTTTAATCGGCACTCTCTTCAGGCTATTACTACGCCCTGAACACTCTAATGTAAACGAAAATCGGTAGCCATTTTGTTGGACCATCATTGTTTATATAATATGTATATAAACAGTATATTATGTAAGCAAGAGTACACTGATTTTTCCCCCAATAATAATAAAGATGGTGGACTGATTTCGACGGCGGCATATGCTGCCCGTGTAATTTGTTATCAGTGTCCATTCGGATTAATCTATTCTGTGTTATTACTGTCGTACTCAACACTGACCTGTGGCACAGCCCTGGCGAACACGGCGAACAGACCGGCGGAAGGACAATGACACCGAGTGACATTTTCCGGTGAACCGGCCTCGGATATCCGGCAAGCGGTCTCGTTCCATTTTTGGCTCGTCGAAGCGGTGACCGTACAAGTCAAGTTCCAAGTACCGTTGATTTCGGGTAGTTTCAAGACGAAATCAATTGTCGTCTCCATTGTCGGCATGTGTATGCGTTGGCCGTCTCGCGCTACGATCACCTTGACAATTGGCGTTTTCAGATCAAACACAAATTCGTCGTTGCCACTGGGGAGAAAAATATAGCATTCAGTACACATGAATTTATTATCGGGTAAAATATAGACAGTGCGTATTTCACTTTGGTTCGTATGTCTACAGTGCCAAAACATTTCCCCGTAAAATACACATTACTATTTTTCTAATACGGGTGTCTCGAGAAATTCGTTTTAATAAATACAGTTTACTGTAAAACCGGAAGTTTTATGTTGTTCAATTTCGAACTTAATATCGACGGGTATTCGATTCAAAAATAAAAGTATATTAGTAAAGAATTACACGCAAAAAAAAAAAAACGGAAAAAGCGGGCGAAATTATTTTCTAGTGGAGAAGTCGTGAAATTAAAATCTGTTTTCAGGTTCTTCATCGACAAGTATGTTGGAACGCAAGCTAAAAAAAGGTCGCGCGTGAGACCGAAGTAGAAAAAACCGTTTTTTAGGAAATCATTTTTGGAGTATTACAAGTACACACTAGTATTAATTATTAAACAAGTATTGTCGGTAAGTATACGCTGGTATCTAATGAACTTCACTTCACATTTTAGCTGTCCAGTAAATAGCTACACAGAAATCAAGTTGTGAGGGTCTCGACCGACTTTACGATGGTTTTTATTACACTTGATGAGGGTTTTCGAGATTTAACGATTTTAGAACTCTTTGATTTTTTTTTGTACAACAAATATGAAAATGGATCATTAATAATATTGTTAAAACGTTTTTATAGTAATATTTGTCGACTATTAATATTTGTACTATCTCACAAAGTACTGTTTACTTCCAATACTAAATTATTAGAAATGTTTCTATTCGGTAAATTGGAATAAAAACAATAAAAAAAAATCATTGCTTTTAAAAAAATAAACTATCGCGATAGTTTACATCGTTACACATGTAAATATAGTGCAGATTACTTTTGGCGTGTCTGTAATACAAACGCGTCAGAACAAAAAGTATAGCGTAAATTAAAATCATAAGGAACGTTTTAGGGAAAGACTTGTGAATTTGAGTTATTTAATTAAGAAATACGACGAACACCGGATAACTAAGTACATGCTTTCAGACCAATATTACATTTTATTTTATATCCTGCAGGTGTTACTTTGAAGTATTTAAACGACTTTCAAAAATTGTCGTCGGAGTAGAATACGATTGGAACTTAATTTCGAAAAAGTAAATTACGTGACAATCTTAGAACGTTTACCGAGGCAGGCGGAGAATCGGCGTTCTACCTTGGAGTTTCTTTAATTAAAACCTTCGAGTAGCACAAATAATTAATAGCGAAACGTTTATAAGGGCACAGGCCGTTGCGGGCATGATAACGAGGTTCTGTTTCATCACGGCACAGTAGACAATCATTTTGTTTGATGTGAACGCATTCAGTTGACTAATTATATGTATTTACTTGGGCGATAGGAAATAGTTTTTCGGAAAGTACTGAGACAAGTTGTTGTACGTGATCACTCCAACGTTGAAAGACTTGTTAATCCATTTGTCGATTTCTATGTCGTACGCGGACACCACCACTTTGGGTAGTTGAGCGGTTGCCGTCGTGTTCCTGCCGGAGGGCAAACAAGTTAATAACGAAACCAACAACAATAACAAACTCAATGTCTTACCTGTGGTTAAAAAACGTGAATGTAATATTCTTGCTCGACTCGCCGACCACTTCCGAAGCCGAATCAATGGCCAGGTTCGTTATTCGGTTGGTAAACCGTTTGGTTCCATTGCTGGTGACTATGTAAAACGCCTCTAACATCGTCCACTCTTCTACCATTTCTACCATTTGAGCGATTTTCTGGATAAAAACATAAAGAAAGACCATCAGTATTAGACCGCCACACCGACATTTTCTCTCATTTTATATCACCACCTCATCTGGACTATACCAATAAAATTTGTTTCCGAATAATGACTCACCGAAACCTTGGCGATGGATTTATTTCTCAGCAAAACGTCTAGTATGCCATTGAAACTATGCGTCGCCCGGTCCAAATCACTTAACTGAGCTGATTTCATTAAAAATTTGGTAACCGATCTAAGAAAATCGACAATCGGTTCACCTTCGCCAGGATGCCATTCTTCAGTTTTGCTAATGTCAGCGTACAACAAATTCAACGTCTCGGTAGCTGTCACGTTTCGTTCAAACCCCAACGTTCTGATTTGAAACTGTAAAATAATGAATACAATTTTTTAATAACACTACCGTTTGTAAGCTGTATACTATCTTCGAATATAAATAGCACGAAAAAGTAATGCTGATTTTAAGTTATTTATTTTATAATAAGTTATTAAAAAAAATACATAGGTTTAAATAGGCCACGAATATTATGTGCAAAGTATACCATAAAAATATATGTGCCGTGTTTTTACGATCATAACATAAAAAAGAAACAGTGAAATAGTACCTAATAGTGTAAGCAATTTATTAGTTGATCGGAATTTTAACTCAACACAGTGGCTCAAAGTTGTCTTGGAGTTATGAAGCGGTTATATTATAATGATCACAGTGACCACATATTGTAGCACAATAACATCAAACTATCACGAGATAGTATGATACTTCTACGAGATTATACGCGAACAACGAGGTCAATGTGAGACCTATCCATCCATACATTATTATATTTTATTACTTGCGTGTGTTAATATGTTTAAACTTATACAAATAATAAGATGTAAAATATCTCTTGTGTACATCCACGAGTGGAAACAGTTACCGCATATTATAATATGACCGTTTTCAACAGTTTATTATAAAATTGAAAGTAAACATAGTTGTATTTAAGTGATTTCCTGACTCACGTTTTTGGTGATTTTCTTCAAATAGTCGGGTGCACAAGATGAGTAATCGGGGACTTGCCATTCGGTAATGTTTGACGAATTCAATTGACATGGCCGAGTAGCGTAGTTGGTCGACGACTTATTAGGGCAATCGATCGAAGCTATAGTACCTGAAAGGGTTAAAGGCCACCCGTCGACAGGTTTACAATATGCAGTGTCGGTCGTGTTGATCACGTGCACGTGCATAGAAGCGTTACGCTTTCCAGACAAGTTGTTGGCGGCCGAACACGTGTAGATTTCTGATTGCTGTTCAAAACACAACTTGGCATTAAAATAAGCAATTATATAAATATGTATAAAATATACTTAAAATAAGTAACACGTAGAAAACTGGTGGATACTACGCTAAAAGGTGTCCAAACATTGGAACAAATAACATTATTGTGTACACCGACATAGCTCTGTTACTGACCGGTTGATTCATTAAGGATAAGACATAAATGTTCTCTTAAAATAATTGCAATCTTATATTTTTTCTTTTTAGAAAAATGTTAATTTATGTTATTTTACAATATTGTCAATATTCAAATTTTTATCTTTTTAATTTTTTTCCAGAGCATTATCAACTTATGGAGCTGAAATAGGAACGTTCAATTTTTGAATTAAGAATAATTTGCTGAAAATATTTACTGATCGATGACCATTTTTGGAAGTTACTTTTAAAATTTAGGACGCGATGTGGAGTGCGGTATAGTTGTGCCCGCAGATACTAAAAATACTACACTCCACCCTTCCGCTCGTTCTAAATTTTTAATTTTAATGACTAATTATCCAAAACTGGTTATCGACCAGTCAAAATTATCAGCAAATTATTCTTTCTTTCCATTTAAGTTTCAAAAGTCGATAGCGCTCCGGAAAATACTAACAAAAGTAAATATTTGGTAATTTTATAATTGTGTACAAAAATATAAATAAAAATGTTTATAAATAGAAAAATTGTAACTATTTTCAAAAAAAATAAGTGTCTCATGCTTAATGAACCACTCTTAATGTAGCTAATAACTACTTATAACATGAATATTTAATTAAAAAACTCGTATGTACCTGTATATTGTTTACGTATAGTATACTGCCTCCACGGTGAAAGTCTTCCCAATACAATTCTGGTGGCGACATCGTAACTAGACCACCGCTACTGCTGGTCCACGTGTAGCCGAACTTCTTAAATTCGTTTTTCGAAATGCATGGTATGGACAAGCTGTCACCCTGGTTATTAAATAAACGGAATTCTCAGGGTAAAACCAAAAGGTAGGTACCCAAAATAGCTTTGATGGGTTACTTCAAAACGGCCAATAAATACCTTTTGTACTGTGGCTGTAGGCCTGACGATGATCTCGGGAAATGGGATAACCGATACTTTAATGGACTTGCACTGTTGGCGTGTATGGTCGGTCAACTCGCACGTGTAGGTTCCAGTGTCCATAAGGTCAGCGTGCTCTACAACCAGCATGACATTCTTTTCCACTTTGTCCTTATAAACGGTTGTCCAAATTTGTCTAAAACGAGTATGTCACGAACACCATCAAGTTAATAAAACGCCAAAAGCCACGCAAGGCATTATATGTTCACTGTCGTTCTTTTTTGTAATAGGTTTTGGATCTAGAATAGTTTTACCTGGTAGTAGCTATAGACTCATTGACCGGATAGCCGTCCTTGAACCATCTGTACTGCATCGATGATGAACCCTGAGCAATACAAGATATGATGAATTGTTCGCCTTCGGGTACATTTGGATTTTTGTTCACTTCTATTTTCTAAAATAAAATTAAAACATACGTTTTTAGCTATAACTAAGTCAGGTTAGGATTTTTTACGATTTCTCCTTACGCTTAGCCAAAGAGCCGTTTCTTGGTGAAAAGATAACGAAGTCTTCACTAATGGCACGGGTCTGGGGCCTGGTAGAGAGCCATTGGATATCATGCTATTCAACAGGCCTTGTACGTGTTTGTGATCCGATTTCCGAGAATAAAACTCAAAATGAACTTCACCAGTGCTTGACCTACAATACACAGGGATTAAAACTTATTTGTCTTTAAACATAAAATATAAACATTGCGCCGTAGTACGTGAAATCATAAAACACAACGGTGTAGGACATAAAATCATAACCTACAACCTACTACATATGGATTTTAATACTTTAAGGTTCAAAAACTAACATGAAGGTTTAAACTCGGTAATGGAGCTATCGGGTTTGTTACTCAGACAGTTGCGAAACAGACTTGGTTGTCCGTTCATACGTAATTACAGATTATATAAGAAGACGCATATTACGCATTAAAATGAAATATAAAAAACGTTCTTGGACGCTTGGTTATTTTAATACATTTAGTGTATGTTTAAGTATTTAAAAAAAAATATTATTGTACTGTTCACTGCCGCATGTTATACATTATAGTTTCCTCTTTCCTTTTTATGGCCAATTCCGGACACTCATCTCCTGCCCCTCGCCTTTAAAATAACTACCCATTCTTTGTAGGTTTTCTATCTTTAGATTTTCTTCCAATTAATACTCCAATAATTACTTAGTTTGAAAGTATACCGTAATAAACTCAGGAAAATCGACTCCTGATTATCTGTTTGCTTAGTGAGGTTCATTTGAATGATAGTCCTAAACGTTACCCTACCTAAATATAATGGTAGCTAAGTCAATAATATTAACTCATGTATCCAATAGAATACCTAGAGAAACTATTATTTTAGAATTTATTTAGTATACTAACAATATAATGTTAAAATGAGTTAAAAACCACGACAAAAGTACAATTGTTGATTTTGTTTTTATAATGAGTATTATTATGGTTAGTAAACATATTTTTTCATTTAAAAATAATTAACAATTATGCGCTTTATTAAAAATTATTACTTCTTAAACAATTCTAATTTATTTTTTATTTTTTTAATCATAGGTAATACAAAAGTTTTAAAACTAAAAAGCTTATAAAAACTTTTAAACATTATACTAAATTTGAATATTAAAACGAGTTCTACTTACTCGACAAATGTTATTCTTAAGTTGCAATCTTCATGTGAGGAACAGGTAGTCTTTGAATGTTTTTTAAACTGTAAACAAAATAAACGATTCTAATTATTATTATATACTATACATTTTAATTTTAATAATATAACTGTATTTACTAAGTTTAAATAAATAATTGTAAGTCAATTTAAAAAACACAGTATACGGTGATTGTAACGTCATAAGGTACGATCACATAGAATAAATTAATATAAAATAAAAACGGTATTTAAACCAAACATAGTAGTAATTGAGTCGTTATTTCGAGACTCGAAAGACAAAATACCAAAAATGTAAACACCAGGTGTATATAAAATACCATGCACGTCATGTGTCAAGTTCTAAATAAGAAAAACTGGAAGAGAACTAGCTAAAATAACATGAAACAACGGACATATAACACTCAGTTCGACATGGTACAAATACTAAACCCAGAAGCTAACTTCGGAAAAAACTGTTCAAAAAAGCAATAGAAATTAAAACGGTGCCTATCGCTCCGAGGATAGACTTTGTAATGATTCCGAAACGTCAGCATAAAACTGAAGACAAGGATAAATCCAAAAATTATCCACATTACACTTCAATCCATGAAAGATTTAACATATTCAAAATTACTAGTTATCCAGCGCAACAGACGTGGATCGAGCTAAGTATAAAAAAAAGTGAGCGCCGAGACGGTGTGTAGTATCTAATGGCAGAATTTGTCCATTTAAACTGTGTACATTTCCAACGCATCAAATAATTACAACTACAACCTGTCCTATCAATTGATAAAAATATATTAATTTTTGCTGAAAAAATGTAAATTTATTTTAAACATTTTTTTTTTAAATGATAATTTACATTTATTAAACTTTATCTGATGGAAACCCTATTAAATTTTATTTATTTTAAAAAATGATATCTAGTAAGACTCCATTAACATTAATTTTGAATAGTTAACAATATTTCAAAATTTTTAAAAAATTTAATATTGTTTTTTAAGCATACAATTTTCAGTAATGATTCCTGGTACAAAATGATACATTATTTTTATTAAACATTTTATTGCTATTAACAAATTCGTATTATACAAATTTAAAAATCCTCTAGGAAATGTTTTTTCGAGCTACGGCTTAGTTCTCTAGTAAATCTCTATAAAACTAATGACAGATTTAGAATAGACGTCCAGCTATAGGCAATTGAATGGAAGACAAAATGGCTGTCAAGAGATAAAAGATATAAACGACTGAGAACGAGCGGCAGTCAAAGTGTCCGTGTCGGCTACTACTATGTCAGTAGCTGTTGCAATGCTCTGGTGGTGATTTGTCTTAACCGCATAAACGCGGAACGGATTGTTTTCCTCCATCGAGTACACCCCAGTAATATTGAAGTCGACATTTCAAACACAAAGAAAACGCTTAAGCTGGATACCAATTTCGACGGTCGGGATGTAAACTGTTTAAGTTGAAAAACACCGGGAAGGTTCGACACGGTCATTTATCGATATTATTAGATGCGATTCTATTTTCCACAACGTTATAACTACTAATATAAACAACCAGAAGGATGTAAATACAAATAGTATAACTCTGTTAAATTCGTCCACAAACACTGTGTTATAAGAGTTTAAATAAAACATAAACAGCTTTTGCCAATGTTGTATTGAACATAGTGTTTTAACTTTTAAGGAAACTGCCGCCGGGTAGTTTCGGGAAATGTTTTTCTATAATTGACTGTTATTTTACAATATAAAAGTGGGTGGTAATATAGTAGAGTATGACCAGGGTTTCAAAATAAATCGTACAAAACATACTTTTTTTTTAAGTAGTTCATGCTTAAGTATTGAAAATGTTATCTTGTTAACCTAATCAAAGTTCTGTTGATTATAAATAGAGCATTCAGTTTTATTTGCTTTAACCAAAGAAATATGATTTATATTGTTAAAATATTTGGCTTGCCGAAATAACTTAAACTCTTATCTATTTTTGACCTGGAACGTCCCAAAAAAGATTGCTTGATAAAAAATATTTATCAAATATATATTTATTTTAACTTTAGTAAGTAAAAATTATTTAGACAAACTTATTATTTTAATACTTTAAATAAACGGTTTAGTTAAAGCAAATATTATAAATTTTAAATAGAACGCGTACTTAGCCACTGATTTAAAGTTAACCGAATTTTGTTTTTCATTTGCAAGCTATTAAATTTTGTGCTTGGCTATCGATATAAATATTACTATATTTGTAAAAACTAAAACTTTATTTAGTATAAATATTTATACAAATTTCGTATTTATTATAATATACACACGATGAAAAAGAAAATCATGACAGTTATTGCAGAAATGAATATATTTTTGTAGTACACAACAAACTAGCTCTTTTATATAAATCCATAAATAATTGTTAAATAATAGCAAACCGTAATTAAAACTACTAAGTTTAGTTAAAAAAGGTTGACCTTTATAACATGACAAACATAATAAATAAGTATATTAAACAAAATTAAATTTACACTAATTAAAAATATTTTGTAATCTGTAATTACAACGACAATGCGGAGTACCATATTATAATTATTATATTATGAGATAACAAACGCACGGGTGCACCGAAATTGCCTAAACCGAACGCCGGTGGATTATTATTATTATTATTATTAAAAACAACGGCCAGTGCGGATGTCCGTTTTATTATTGTTTGTACATGTATTCAACATTCGACCCTTGTTATACCATATCCCAGAGATAATGTCACAGTGTTAATGAATGACAGAGTTTTTATTATCATAATAATGACACAAATAAAAACAGAAAACTAATGAATAAGAACGGCAATAAAACATAAAACCTAATCCTTCTAGTTACCTTCAGACAACAGTGGAAGGGCATCGTACTTTTTATACGGCAATTGCTTATATTATTATAACGTTCTTTTTTTGTTTTGTTTTTTACTGCACATAGCAGAACGTTAATAGTTAAGATAAATATTCTATGTAACGGTAAATAATCAACAGAGTACCACGCGCGTTTGTAACGACCAATTTAAAATCGTGTTTCAATATTGACTTAACGCCATTAAACTGATCGGCAATTGCACTTAAACAACATATGTCTTTCAGTCTTATACTTATATAACTAAACCTCACGGTAAACAAAAAACCATTTTTTTAACGATAATCTAGGGTCTTTAGTCATTTGTTTTTTAAAAATGATATCAGTACGGGCCACGAATTGTAAATAAAAAAAAACCGTACTACTGTCGTTCAAGTGTTCGGTCGGTTTAATAGTAATTTCCCTGCGATTTCATAAATTTAAGAGGCAATAAAAATGAGATAACGCGCTTGCAATGATTTAGTTCTCGCTTCTTGACCTGAAAGATTAAGGATAACGTCGGGAATCACGTTTGAAATAACAAAGTACAATATTAGCGTCTTATTGGCACAATTTATTTGTTCGTGAATGTGGTTTCCTGTTTGAAACCCTTGGGAAGTAATTACGAAAGTCTAAAGATGCGCGCAAACACATGTGAAAAGAAATCCTTCAAACTAATAAAATGATTTTAACATTTACTTTGAAACTAGGAAAACTGGCTATCGCCTTAAAATCTTAAGCGCTAAATATATTTTATCTGGAACGACAAATTGCGTAAATAAACCGCGAAAAATTGACGGAATTGTACACGTGTTCAATCTAATCCAATTTAATTCTAGACTAATCAATTTAAAATTGCGTGAATATTAATAGACGTAATTCCATTAGTTCCGTTAAAATCAATTTTAAACTGATTAGGATCCGTGGCCCAAGCGAGTCAAAAAAGGGTTTATAGCGTTGTATTATCGGAGGAACATGGGTAAATAGCGATTGGCTCCAGGCCATTCCTTGTATGATCTTAAAAGCATGATTATGTTCAGTGCCGTCCTGAGGTTTTGCGAGGTTTTTAAAATAATTTATACTATACGCCTTCACATATTATTATGTGAGTTCATAATATCTTTAACATAGACTGTGTTGAACTCTTCGTGGTAAGCAAGTACAATTATTACAGCAACGTAAGTTTTCGTATAACACTTAAAAGAAAAAGATATGTTCTAATAGCTTCAGAGCGCGGTTTTTCACTAAAAATTGTTTGCATTGTAAAAACAAAACATACACTACGACACTTACGCTGTTCATGTCTGGTTCACACGAGTGGATATGTTGGTGGACGACAACTTACACGAATCACAATGGACATAGGAACGACACTGGACGAACCAAATAGAATTAGAAATGGTTAAAAGTTAGCGTCCAATCAACGTGCACGGAAAATGGAAAATGGTTTCCGTGGAACCCGAAACAACAGTGCGAGCGGTGGGTTGGTTTTTGGTAGTCTTGGCACGCACTAGGCGTACTTAAAACGGCCACGGGATTGAATGCGTTATTACTGTTGTCACCGTTGTTGTACAGACGGGAAATCAAACCGAATATTATTATTATTATTGTTTTGGACGTAGCCGTGGTTTTAGCGATCGCGTGGACAGCATTCGTACGCGACAGATTACTCAACAGAGCCACGAAATACTACACTATAATATTATGCGATGCAACACTCAACGGTTTATACAGCAGTCGAAATGTATTAAAAGTACAAGATCAATACATAATATTTTGTTTCCTCTACGGACAAATAAAAAAAAAATATTTTTTTTTTATTGAAATAGCTCTTAAGTCCATACCGGATACGTGGCAAATAGCACAAGTCAGAGCCCACGGTTAGAACGCTTAGATCCGCTTAGATGGTAAAATCAAACTAAAACACAGGGGTGCAGACTGAAAAGCGCGCATTAATGTAAAAAAAAATATAGTCTATACTCAGCTCTGCATCGAAGCTGAAATAATTTTCCAACAAGCTAAATAAGTTGACTAGTGTGATAGGCTGATTAGAAATTATAAAAATAATTTTCTATAATGAAACATAACTTGTAAATAACAAATCCAAGTCTTATAATAAGTTAATAATATTTCAATATTTCTTAATTAACTATATTCCATATATTTTTCACTTCTTTTCGAATACTC